TTCTTTTTCTTTTATTTTTGCCAGTAATGTTTCTACTACTGGAGTAGGTCAAGGTTGACTGACCAGTGGGCCACCCCCAACCTGTTATCACCCCAATGGCCTTGCTGGGGGGGGAATGGTGGTAGGGGACCAAAAAAGAGGGTCAATTTCTGCTTCTGGAAGTCTCTAAAACATGATACAGCCCCCACATTTTCCCCAGTCTAAACAGGAAGTGAATTTTGAATCACTTCCTGTTTTGATTAGATGGTTGGTCATTTCTGCTGCTGATGTAGTCCATAGTGGGTCCTGAGGTTGGTAAACCGACCCTCATATCTGCCAGAATTGTCCTCCTCTACCTACTGTGTTGCCTGGGGAGAATATTACAATTTCTACAATTGACAGCTGACTAGTCATGCAGCCAGTATTAAAATTCTCAGTAAAATAACAATAGTGACTGTAGTAGGTCCACTTTCAAGCAATGAGCAAATTCCCAAATTGTATATTTGGAGATAATGGGAATGTAGGAGTAGGGCACTTACAGGGCAAACTTAGCAAGAGAATGGAGTCCTCTCCTTTCATAGACCCAAATTCCCCACTCCAAATGCAGAAGACAGTTTCTATAGGCATAATTCTAGTCCTGGAGTTGAGCTGGAGACAAACAAGTAAAAATATCCTGAGTAGACATTTGGAAATGAAAAATCAAAAGATGGAGAGGATTGAATTCAAGAGCAGTGCTCCCTCTCCATTTGACTTCACATACTCAAGTCCTTGGTGGAGCTATAGAGTGGGTACAGACGGATTCCTAGGGTGCAAATCGTAACACCTCAGCAGCATAGTAAATGTGATACAATACTGTACCTTCTAATGATGATGTCTAGGCTACTGCTATTGTGGAAAATTTCAGTAACATTATAAAAAAGATTTAAACCATCCCTCTACTGTGTAATTTTCAGCAACCGTTTTCTTTTTCTTTTTCTTTACTGTACAATTAGGTGTCTGAAACACTCTGCACCCAATTGTGTCTTTGCTGAAATTAATAAAGTGAAAATAGACAATATTATCTAATTAATTAAGAACTTCATAGTACACTGATTTAACTGCAGCATTGCAGTCAAGCCTCTGCTCATAATCTGAGTTTGAGCCTGACAGATTAAGGAAGCCGACTCAAGGTTGGCTCAGCCTTTCATCCTCCTGACGTTGGTAAAATGGGTACCCAGCTCACAGGGGGCGCAAGTTGTTGTTCAAATAATTATGTTGTAAACTGCCCAGAGAGTGCTTTAGTGCTATGGAGCAGTATATAAATCGAAACAACAAACAAAGTGTACAGAATCTGGAAATTTGTGTATTTTGGAGTATCAACTGGATATTTTGGTATGCAAACCCAATGTGCCAAAACAATACATTTTGACTGTACTGTTGTTTTTAATTGTGGACACTATATTCATTGCATCAGGAATCTCTGCAAAAAGCGATTTGTTCACCTTTCTACACAATGACTCATTTTGGACAATTAACACAAAACGAGCCTTGGACTCATGAATCCCTTCCCTATGCTTGGAAGCTTTCACTTTTACTTTTCACTAAATATTTCGCTCGTGTATGAACTGGGTGAATATGGTTAATTCTAGCCATAAGCAGTTAAAACAAAGATAAACTGTGGTTTGCTATTGTAATTCATTAATTAACTAAGTTACATATCCTAAACGTGTACAACAGGGAATTTGATATAGCTAAACGCTTCTCATGCAGGAAAACAGGGAGAGAGATGGGAGAGAATGAAGGTTCAAGACATACAATAATTCATTTATAACAATCTAAACATAACCATCTGAGCTGGGCCACAAGTAGTCTCTTTGTGATGAACTTGAATGGAAGGGCCACTGAGTTTTCTATAAAAATTAGAGAGAGAATTGCTGAGTTTATGTTCTGAATAGGGATATGTAACTGAAAGAACCATGCATGTAGATTAACTAAAATAATTGTCAATTGTATTGAAAATAAGATGCAGCTCAGCAAAATGACATTACATTGAAATAGTCACATATTTGCTGGTGGAGATCACACACACATACAGAGAGAGAGAGAGAGAGAGAGAGAGAGTTACAAAGCATTCTGCACTAAAAGCAACATTCAATGAATATTTGTGAGATTTATGGGTGCTTGCACTTTTTAAAAAGGAAGACTTTTAACATTTGCATTCTTATATAATATTTTCATGTAAAGAAATGACAGCAGGCTGTACCAGTAGGCAGCCAACCAATCATATCCTCCCCTAAGCCTGTCACGCTCATTAACCACACACACACACATTTTCCTCATTAATAAATGCACTAAATAAACCTTAACATCTCAGTTAAATCTTATCTGCTCTGGATTTGCTGCTTAACACTAAAACCCAAGTGACCCATTTTTCCACCCTGCATTGACTTTTTAATTATTATTATTGATGGCAACCAAGGAGGAATAATTATCTAAGTTACATTTTAAGTATATTTAGGAAACAAATCCTAGGATATGCTTTTTTCTTATCACCTTGCTATAGTTCATGATTACCATCTTAGCTTCTTGATTATAAGTTGTCATTTTCTTCCAGAATTAAAAAATGTTTTTCTCTAGTTACGCTCAATTACAGGAGCATGTTGAAAAATGTGTCCCATCAAGTTACATGATTTGTATTTCTGTGATGTTTTGATTTTATATTGTTATAATTTCTGGACTTCCTTATTAATTTGTCAGTGTTATAAAAATTACTGCCACTCATCCCACACTTTTGGTAAAAGAAATCAAATGTATAAGTGAAATCATGCCCTTCTAAGGTTACAAAGAACACAATTTCTGTTTTATAATAGATTAATTATAACAATTTATTTTGGCAATATTCAAACATCATAACTTATAATTTGCTACTGACAAAATTTGTTTCGTCAATAACATCTGAGAGACAGTGCAGAAACTCTCAACCCACAGTTCTCATGTTGTAACGGACTTCTCAACATGTTTAGAACTTGACCTCCCACCTTTTCAACTGACAAAGACTCTCTTCTTGACAAGCATCCTGCTGCTCTTTTCTGTGTTCTGAAGCACTGTTCTGGCAGCATGCGTGCATGCCCACAGCCTCCCAGCACATTCCAAATAAAGCTTTCTTTTTGCCTTCTGAGTGCACAAACTGTGCAGGCTAAGGAGCAAACACCCATAATGACATTCAGCTGTCATTATACCATAATTACGCACACCCAGCTTTCATTTTACTACATACCAGCAACATGTTAGTAACACACATTCACACTTTCATATGAGCACCACAATATCTCAGAAAGACTACAGGTTTTTTGTAAGAGCTGTATTTTATTATTTAAGGAAGGATATTCTTCCTACTGATGGAAATTGATCACAATGTTCTACGTCTTTTAAATTAGATTTCTCTGCACCTCCTGAAGCTGTTGGAACAAGTGAAGTGTAAGGTATTGCTTGTGCCACTTTATAATTGTTAAATATTTTTACAGGCAATGGCAGACCCAGAATTTAATAATACAACAATTTATCATTATACCATCCAGTTCTAGCTCAGTTAAAAAATCCCTACTAGTTGCCTTGAAGCTTAAAACAAACCAGTGTTATTGATACAGTACACAACAAAAGGGAGCTTATTATAGACAAAGCATAAAAATAACAAAGAGTGTTGTGGCACCTTCATTGCCTAAGATTCTTATTATGGCATTTTGTTCCCTAGCCCAGGTGCCACAATACCTCTGTAAGTTTTCAAGGTGCCACAAGTCTCGGCTGTTTCACTATAATAGACTAACTCTCCCTTGCTTCTGAAACTACAATAGACACATTGACTTGTCATTCATGTGATGAGATTTATACATACTGAGTACACTGTGAGTTTTGTTATTTAAGCTTCTGTGTTATTACATTTTTTGGCAACATTTAACAAATCAAGTGAGGAATATTTGTTTCATTAAAGGCCATCGCAAACATTTTGTTCCTTTATTGCTATAATTGACGAACTACATAAAACTACAGGGTTTCAATTTCAACAGACAGAAAATGGTGCATTGTGTGACACTTGCTCATCATTCATCTTTTCCCCAAACTTCACAATGCGTAAATGCAGGGTGAATATTATACATAATATTATTGTGATTAGAGGCAAGAAAAATGTGTTGCTTCCATGCACTTCACTTGTTCTGCTGTTTGTAAACCTTTCATAACCATGTGAGGTAAACTCATATTTGCTCATATTTTAATTATTGGTTTTCATACAATTTTTACTAATCCCTGAAGAATTTTAAACCAAGGAGAAACAAAGTTTATTTTCTCTTATCATTATCTATGATTCAAAATCATTATAGCTGTCTTGAATTCAAATATTCAGGTAGCAGAAAATCATGCCAAAATGTAGCAAAAATACTAAGTTTAAGAACCAGAAATTTAAATGATTATGGAACTTCTAAAAAAAAACTTATTTCTATTAGACGCATAGTTAAACACTATAGCATCATAATATGGTTAACAAAGTAGCAGAAATTACATTTTAATAGCATAAAGTATATGGATAGTTTTTATATCAATAGCATAACAAAATATCAATATCAATGTTCTGCCAATTTGTATTATGCTTGTTGTGTTTAATCCCCCCTCCCCATTCTACTACACGCCCCCCCTCTGCAATCCTAAAACCAACGGTGGTTGCTTAATAGATGCAAGAGCTCCTGTCAATGAATTATTTTTCCTTAGAGGATTTCTCACAGAATGATCAAGAAGAAGAGAAACCAAAATACATTCATTTACGTTCATATAGTAAAACTCTTCACGGAGCTTTTGCATGTCATCTTCAAATCTACTTCTAAGGCGAGCATACAATATGCATAAAATCCTCTCACTTTGAATTCCACCACAGTTCATTAGAGATTTGCTTTCTTCCCTGAGTTTGTGGTAAATTATGAGCAGAAAAAGGAGAATCCTACACAATATTGCACCATTTAAATCCCCAGAGAGATTAAAGCTGGGTTACTCACCTAAATGAAGCCAACACATTTCAGATGACAACTCCTAATACATATTTTAACATAGCTCTCTTGTTCAAACTATAAGCCACATGTGTACAAAACCCAGATCACTCTTCAAGTATCTTGCTAGTTTTAAATCTTTTCAAGGCTTGCCCATTGTTAAGTTGCTCAGCTGCCAGCAGTGCCAGTAAACAAGACACACACTTCACTGATGAAATTATTAATGGATGTGGGCAAAACAAACCAAGCTGTGTTTTAGATCTCTACAGGAAATGTTTCTTTTTTAGCTCCGGTTTAGGTCTTAAGAATCCTATTGCCCATTCTGAAGATTTGCTGCGGAAACTCTTGGTATCTTTGAACAGCAATCTCAGACTGATCAGACTGACCTGCTGGGAGGGTTTCAGAATCTGTACCTCATCTGAAATTCTCAAGCAGAGTTCCAGGGCAATTCATTTTTTTCTTTCCGTTGAGTTGTAGCTTGGTGTGGATTCTGTGTTTGTCTCTCAAATCCAAGAGTGGACAGATGGCTGGGTTGTCCTGAGCCTCGTTGAAATGATGCAAAAGATTTGTATTCTCTCATGTTCACCCCCACCCACCCACAGTTTAGCCCCGAAGCAGATAAGCTAGAGTCAGACAGAATGAGCTCACAACATGCCCCCCCCACAATAATTTCAATTAGTGCCACATGAGAAAAGCTTCTGCTTAAAATCTGCTTAAGAAGGGGGCCAGAGGGCAGGGCAATCGCCTTTGCTCTACAACGACAAGAAGCTGCTATAAATATTGCTAAACAAAAGCCCTTGTCAAGGGCTTGGAATGTCACACCCTAATGCAACAGAATTGTAAAGATTCCTGTAAAGGACTACAGAGTATGCAAGGGACTACAGAGAAATTAAAGGGACACTGAAAGAGGTAAATGGGGAAAATATACTCAAAGCACAGAAAAGACATCCACCTCTCTCTATGGATTGTTAATGCATTAAAGGCAAGGTTATTCAATAGCCCCTAAATAAACAGATCTCAGTTAAACTGATGCAGGTTTACATCAGGAGCAGACAGCATGTGACTCACAGCTCATGTGCAGCCCCCAGGGGCCCAGTGCAGTCCCTTAGCACCCCACACAAGTGCAAAAAGTCCTCTTGAGCCCTCTGGGGGGGCATGGAGATAATTTTGCCCCAGCAACCTAACTTTTATATGCCTAATTTATATGCCTAACTTTTAATTTTTTTAAAGATTTTCTTTGCTTCCAGGAGGGATTTTCCAAAGTTTTATATGGTTTTCAGGCTGAGAGTCACTAGTGTGGGTGTGAATGTGGGTGTGGCCCTCCAAGGTCCAGGAATAGACATATATGGCCCCCAGAGGTTGACTGCCCTGGTTTAACTGCACACATATACCTAGTTTTAGCTAATTAGCACTGAGCGTTGGAAAAACAAACACTCCCCCAAATTAGAGCTACAAATACCATGCTATTAATAATTACTGAATAGGCACGATAAGTTAGCAAAATTATGGACCTGACTGCTTGACAGAATACAGATCAGAAGGAGTATTGTTATAGTGGATTATACTGCAAGGGCATGAGCCCATGAACTGTCAGATACAGATCAACTACTACTTTAAAATGTGAGTGCATCTCGGAAACACAAGGAGGCTAATTTACAAAAGTGCATCTCTGCCCTGTGATGCAGAAGCTGGGGGTTCTGCCTGTGTATAACGCAAAAAATCAAATGGAGTAGAACTTGCAAAGATATATTTTTTAAAAAAATCGCTTGCTCTTTGTGAGTTAGTTGGTTACAATGTCTGATGTTGCATCAATGGAGAAAGACAACCAAGAAATGAGAGGTGCATGTGCACTGTGGCCAAAGGTACAGAGATCATGGGCAGCTAGCACTATATACGAATCTGATTCAAGCCTGCAGTTGAAGTTATTATGAAAGCATGTGTACCATATTTTTCCATGTATAATACACCCCCACGTATAAGACCCCTTCACCCACTTTTCTAACCCAGAAATTTTTTCTTCTCAAGAAAGTGGAGGGGAAGGCAGGGATCAAAGTGCTATTCTGCCTATTCCGTTTTCCATCTGGGGTCGGGATCTCTTAAAAAAGGTTGATGCAAAATGTCTTCTCCGTTCTTGCCAGAACAAAAAACTCCATCTCAATTTACATTACTGCAGTCGCAACAGTTTCTTGGGCACTTAAATTGGGCTCTTCCCTTTTTGTGCCTTCGTACTCATAAATTGCAGCCTTTGTTTAATGCACTCTCAGGGGACATCAGTCTCTCGCTGACTCCATACCCATCACCAAGGCTATGAAACATGCCATACATCAAATTAATGCAGCCTTGTGATGCACTATGGTCGACCACATTCCTTCTCTTGGTCCCTTGCAGCTGGTTATCTTGAACACTCCCCAATTGCCTACTGGATTGTTGTGTAGCCCGAAGTCTGACAAGGCCATTTCTATAGCAGAATGGCTTTATTTATCTGACACTCCTCCCCAAAATGTTTACTCCACTATAAATGTGATTACAGACCTTGTAATCAAAGGACGCCATCGCACCAAACAACGCACAGTTTGGGATCTTCTGTGTTGTTACTGACCTATTTCCAAAGCTGACCATGATCACTTAAAGTCTACGTCACTAATTTATCAAATTGCTTTTGCAGACTATGTTGGCGACATATATTTTAATCCACCTAAAGACCCTTACTTAACATTAATTCAGCAAGTACTGTACCTCTTTGCTTTTCCTCTTCTTTCACTGCTACTCCTCTCCCTGATGCACTAACTGTTTTTACCGATGGTGCACCTACTAGAGGCGTGGTTACCTTTCAGCAACCTTCCCGAATCCGGAAAACCTTTTTTACTTGTACTCAGAACCCTGCCCAGCGTGCAGAACTTGTTGCTGTCATCCTTGCCTTTCAAATGTTTCAAGAGCCACCTTTAAATTTTATTGTAGACACTCAATATGTATTTAACCTTCTCATTCATCTGTCATATGCCTATCTTTCTCCTGCTCTTGACTTTTCTTTACTTTCCCTGTTTTTGACTTTAAAAAACTTCCTTGCTACCTGATCACAACCTCTTTTTTTGCAGCTCACATACGATCTCATACTGGATTTCAAGATGCTATCTCAGAGGGAAATCATCGTGCAGACTCTGCTCTTCTTTCCTTGTGCCCTCTCTTTTCCAATCCTATTGAGAGCCATTCTTTTTTTCAGAGTGCTAAACAACTCCATAAGCAATTTTCTATTCCACTTTATCAAGTTTGAGACATCGTCTCCTTCTGCTCTTCCTGTTCCATGTCTCCCACTTCCTTTCCTTTTGATGCTGTTAACTCACGAGGAATGGATGCCAATCAGCTTTGGCAAATGGATGTCACTCATGTTCTTACACTTGCGCCTCTTTCTTATGTTCATCTAACTATTGATACTTATTCGGGATATATCTGGGCTACCCCACTTCGTGGCGAGACTTCTTGCCATGTCATACAATATTGTTTACGTATGTTTGCAATTATAGGCCAGCCTCGAGCCTTAAAAACAGACAATTGCCCTGCCTATACCTCTTATACCTTTTCCACTTTCCGAAATGAATGGGACATTTGACTTTCCCATGATATTCCCTACAACTGCACAGGACAGGCTATTGTAGAACAAGCAAACCACTCTTTTAAATTTCTCCTATCTGAACAAACAAAAAAACAGAGAGATTAAGCCCCAAGATGTTCCAGATGTAGTACCAATAGTATTATTCATATTAAATCATTTAACTGTATCTGTAGGTCGGCATAAGTTGTTGCCAGTACAGAAACGCTTTCATAAAGAAACCCCCATGGAACGGCTGCTGGTGACTTATAAGCAACCTCCCGACCCTCAGTAGGAGGGCCCAGCTCCTTTACTAACATGGGGTCGCAGCTATGCTGCTTTGCTTACTCCCATGGGTCCTTCCTGGATACTGGCTCAGTGTGTGAGGCCATATCATGGGAAGAATGAGTTGGCATCGCAACCTGCAGAACCCAATTCCAGAATTCAACCCAGTGATATCCCTGGAGCAGGACAAGATGACTGTGCTTCACTGGAAGCGCCCGGCCTGACTTGAAGGCACTCAGCCCAAAGTTACTTGAGGGATAATAAAGACACTGAGTGCTGATGCAAAAAGAACTCTAAGTCAGCAGCAGATCTCAGAAACTCCTGAAACTTTTCAAGTAGCCATTATCTTGCAGCTGAATGCCAACTCCATGATGCTGTTGTGTTGTGTTCTCATTCTTGGAGCGGTTCTAATAGGTGTCACAGAGACTCAAGAGGATTTACATACCCATCTACAATTTACCTTATGGGAAAGGTTGGCAGAAATTGTGAACGTCTCTCACTTCTGTCTTCAGGAAGCATATGCTATGCATGGATTACTAGGAACTTGCTTAATTCCTGTCTGTAAATAACCTTGCGACATTACTAATGACACTTGGTTAGGACAGTGGTTGAATGCCATTGTCATTAAGTACAATAATTCTCCTGATTGGGGGCGAACACCAAAAACATTACCCATTGATGGCTTTTCCCTCTACACCCCTTTTGTCACATCTAATGAAAACACTTCATTTGCCAGAGTCGTCAACTGTTCCTCTGACACATGCATTTCTACAACCAAAGCCACATGGAATTGTACCCATGCTGTCAACATTTCTTATAATTTAGCACATATCATCCAACCTACAGGTAGGTTTTTTAAATGTGGTCAACGTACTTTTAGCTACATTCTAGCCAATCTGTCAGAAACACAATGCTGTCTTAGCAGATTAGTAATCAATTTAATGTAACCTTTTGCCTTGCAGAACTCCTCGACTCAGCTAAGACGAGAAAGGTTATTTCTTGATAGTACTTGTGATGGTAATGTTACTTTGTTCTCCAAAGCAGAATATATTTCGCTGGTTATATTGCTTGTTGGTGTTCCTGGCATTGCTGTTTGTAATTCTCGCACTCTTGCCAACATTTTGTGCTCCTTAGCTGGAGTAATTAACCGCACTTCCACTGCTATTGCCCTGCTGAATCAGGAATAACGACAGCTACATGATGCTATTTTAGACAACCGCGCAGCATTGGATTATCTCATGTTGCGTAATCACATAGGTTGTGAGTCTTTTGCCAATCTCTGTTGCTTTAACTTATCTGATAATAGTCATGCAGTAGATAATCAGCTTGCTCAGCTTAGATAGCTTGCCAATAACATATGACAAGACATACATCCTTCCTGGTGGGACAGTTTGTGGTCATGGCTACCCCACTGTGGATGGCTTCACACTGTGTTAACATATGGAATTATGCTCCTCATACTTCTTATAAGTTCCTGTTGCTTTATTCAATGTGTACCAACCT